AGGCCTTCATTTCCAAAATATACAAACAGCTCATACAACTCAACAACAAAAGAACAAACAACCCAATCCAAAAATGGGCAGAAGACCTAAAGAGACATTTCTCCAAGGAAGAAATACAGATGGCCAATAGGCACACGAAAAGATGCTCAGCATTGCTAATTATTAGAGAAATGCAACTCAAAACTACAATGAGGTATCACCTCACACCAGTCAGAATGGTCATCATTAAAAAGTCTACAAATAATAAATGCTGGAGAGGGTGTGGAGAAAAGGGAATCCTCATACACTGTTGGTGGGAATGTAAGTTGGTGCAGCCACTGTGGAAAACAGTATGGAGGTTCCTCAGAAAACTAAAAATAGAACTAGCATATGATGCAGCAATCCCACTCCTGGGCATATATCCAGACAAAACTATAATTCAAAAAGATAGGGCTTCCCTGGTGGCACAGTGGTTGAAAGTCCCCCTGCCGATGCAGGGGACATGGGTTCACGCCCCGGTCCGGGAGGATCCCACATGCCGCGGAGCCTGCGCGTCCGGAGCCTGTGTTCCGCAACGGGAGAGGCCACAACAGTGAGAGGGCCCGCGTACCGCAAAAAAAAAAAAAAAAAAAAAAAAGATACATGCACCCCTATGTTCACAGCGGCACTATTCACAATAGCAAAGACATGGAAACAACCTAAATGTCCACTGACAGATGAATGAATAAATAAGGTGTGGTACATATATACAGCACAATGGAATGCTATTCAGCCGTAAAAAAAAGAATGAAATAATGCCATTTGCAGCAACATGGATGCAACTAGAGATTATCATACTAAGTGAAATAAGTCAGAAAGACAAATGCCATATGATATCACTTATATGTGGACTCTAAAATGTGACACAGATGAACATACCTATGAAACAGAATTACAGAGAGAACAGACTGGTGGTTGCCATGGGGGAGTGGGTTGGGGGAGGCATGGAATGGGAGGTTAGGGTTGGCAGATGTAAGTTTTTATATATGGGATGGATAAACAACAAGGTCCTACTATATTGCACAGGGTATTATATTCAATATCCTATGATAAACCATAATAGGAAAGAATATTTTAAGAAAGAATGTATATGTGTGTGTGTGTGTGTGTGTGTATACGTATAACTGAGTCACTTTGCTGCACAACAGTAATTAACACAACACTGTAAATCAACTAGACTTCAATTCAAAAGAAGAAACCAACTTCCCTGGCAATGCTAACGTCAGTTAACGTGGAATCAATTCTTTCCTAAACCCTTTAAGTTTTGCAACAGGTTCAGACTAGATTCTTTCTTTAAAGGCTCAATGTTTTTCTCCTTTCTTTTCTAAACATAAAAATTTTTAAGCATTATAGAATTCCTAATGGTTCTCTAAGGACACAGCCAAAGACATGAGAATTGTGGCCTTCTAGACCTTTGATCTCTGGCCCTACAGGATGGAAAGCCCCTAATTTCAAATCTGAAGACCAGGAAGGTGAAATTTGCCCAAGATCACACACGGGTCATTGCTCAAGTCCACTCCATGATTTAGTTTATGTAGCGGCTGGCATTGGAGCCTCTAAGACATGGTTCCCACCTGGGCAGCTTTCGAATCCCCAGGGAGCTGGCCACACCCAAAGCAATCACATCAGATCTCTGGGGTGGACCCCAGCCTTCAGTGGTATTTAAAGCTCCCCTGTGAGCTGCCAGGATGGAGACGCATGGCTCCAGCAGCTGCCCTGGAGACGGTAACTCCCAGAGGGAGCTGCAGATCCTGGGGGGCTGCACAGTGCAGGGGCTCTCTTCTCCCTGCGCCTCAGTTTCCTCATTCATAAGTTGGGAACGCTAACGATACCTATCCCCTAGACCGTGAGGATTAAAAGTGGCTGGTACATAGTAAGTGCTCAAGAAATGGTAGCTAGTATAAACGTAGGCCTCTTGTTTTGCTGTGGATGTGGATTCTTCCGGGATTCCTCATGACTAGCCTTTCTTGTGAGAGTTTAGGAAGAACTAAACTGTCCTTCTGGGCCAGAGGGAGATATAATAGAATCATAGCAAACCAGTTCCCCGGGTTTTCCTCTCCCTCCCCCAGTTCTGAAATCAGCGAGATGCTGGCAGTGCCCCCAAGATGCTCGAAGGGGTCTTGTATTAGGATTTGCAAGTGGCGAACCTGAGGCTGGACCCAAGCAGGCAGTTGTTCACGACAGATTCTGCCAACCCCACTCTCTTGATGCCTTTACATTTACCTTGTTCTCTGCGTTTCCATTCCTCTGCATCTCCTCCACCCGGGACAGTAAAGTGGACCAGCTGCTCCTCCTTCAGTTTGGGTCCTTGTGTCTGAAAGAAACTGTAAACACCGCAAAAGATGTTTTAATTTAAGGGAAACGTGCTTTCCTTCCTTTTAAGACGAAACATAGTGAAGACTTTTTCAAACAGTCCCTAAATTTGGTACTTGAGCTAATTACCGTTGCCTTTTTTAAATGTCCAAATTAAAAATAGACATCTAAGTGAGAACGCAGGACACAGCCCAGAGCCTGTAGCCCTGTTCACGGTTTCCTAGAATCAGCCTTCCTCCGACCTAATTTATACTTTTTGGAGATCAAAGGGAGGTGAGGGGAGTCGAGGTTGCAGCTGGAGGTAGACCTAGCAGTTGCCTGGCAGCAGATGACGAACTTGGCTCTGTGTTCTATAATTAAGAATAGCTTGAACTGGTGAAAGATGTTAGATTACAGTCCTTTCCTCATAGTGTAAAGATGTGTTTCTCAAAGTGTGGTCCTCGGACCAGCAGCGTCAGCATCACCTGGTGTAATGGGCTGAATTGTGCCCCACCCCCAGTATTCATATACTGGAGTCCCAACCCCCCAGTACCTCAGAACATAACCGTATTTGGAGATAGGGCCTTTAAAGAGGTGACTGAATTAAATCGAGGCCACTAGGGTGGGCCTAATCCAGTAAGACTGGTGTCCTTGTAAGAGGAGGAAGAGGACTTCCCTTGTGGCGCAGTGGTTAAGAATCCTCCTGCCAGTGCAGGGGACACGGGTTCGAGTCCTGGTCCAGGGAACATCCCACATGCCACGGAGCAGCTAAGCCCATGCGCCACCACTACTGAGCCCGCGTGCTGCAACTACTGAAGCCTGCGCGTCCAGAGCCCGTGCTCCACAACGAGAAGCCACCGCAATGAGAAGCCCGCGCACCGCAACAAAGAGTAGCCCCTGCTCCCCGCAACTAGAGAAAGCCCACACACAGCAGCAAAGACCCAACGCAGCCACAAAATAAATAAATGTATTTAAAAAAGAAAAAAGAAGAGACACCAGGGGTAAAGATGCACAGAGGGTTGACCGTGTGAAAAGGCAGCAAGAAGGCAGACATACGCAAGCCAAGGAGAGACCGCAGAGGAAACCAACCCTGCGCACACCTCCAGGACTGAGAAAATCCGTTTCTGCTGCTTAAGCCACCCAGTCTGTAGTATTTTGTTATGGCAGCCCTAACAAACCGACAACCTGGGAACTTGCTAGAAATGCAGATTCTCAGGCCCAGACCTACTGAATTGGCAACTTGGGGTGGATCCAGCAAACTGCATTTTAACAAGCCCTCCAGGTGATTGCCATGCAAGCTCAAGGTTGAGAACCATTCACATGAGGTATTATTGGTAATACCTGGCAGAGCCAGCCCAGAAAAAGATGACACGTGGTCAGAAGTATGGGCCGGTCTGCTGAATATAAACTTTCTTTTAGTAGGTTCTGGAGAAGTCCCACTGGGATCTCTAAGTGGGACGGTGTGTGAAAGTGCTCTGCGAATGCTGAAGGGCCCTGTGGACACAGGTGATGGTGACGCGTGCTACTCGTCTCCCACGAAGAAAGAGACCCTCTGAATATTCCAGCATGGGCACACTGAATCCAAGAATCTCCCTCCTCAACTCAAATTTCTGGGTCCCTAACACTGCGTATATTTTCTGCCCCGAGCAATTGGAATGCTTCTTCTTTCTGAGAACAAAAGCAAGGAGACTTAATCCCGTTTCCCCTTTTGTCTCTGCTACAAGGAAGCCCACCACCAAAGAAGATCCTCAGTCACAGCCCTTTTAGTATATTTGTTGTTTCCTCTTTCAGTTTTATGCTACACATATGTCCTTTGTTATGGTCTCTTCAGATACCTTTGAGAAAGGAAAGAAGAGGGGAGAGAAAGGGAATGAAAAAGGAAAGAGATTGATCTCAAGCTCAGATAATTATCAGAACAACAAGCCCTCTTTGTAAAACTGATACAGCATGCTTGGAGAAGACAGATGTTTTCTTTCCGCGACGAGGGAGCAAGCTGTTCACCAAGGAAATGCTCTTCACTCCCTCCTCTTCCTGGATAGATGTCAAACTGATACTCAGGGAACCTGTTAGCTGCTGAAGAGTTGGGACCATTACAAAAGCTCCTGTGAACCCTGACCAGGGACAAGTGTGGAAGTGACATGACCAGTTCTGCATTTTCTTTAAGGTTAGAAATCACTGCTTCCCTGATTACAATTTCTAACATGCGGTTGGTCCTAGTAACAAAAATGGAGATACCTGCAACAGCCCAGGCCGCCATCCGAAATCTCTCCTGCCCCATCCTGGCCATGAATGGTGAAGCATTCTTCTCTTCCCTCTGACCTGTCCAGGGCTCCCCTTAATCCAGGGTTCTTAAACCAAGATACAAGGGGTCCACAGATACAGCTCCCAGGGATCTGAGTTCTGAGAATTATATTAATTTTATATTTTTATTTTGTATTCTTATTTGTATTTTGAAAACAACGTTAAAGCATTTCTGGATTGTCAGGGCCACACCTAGTCCTGCCATGTGAAATTATGGCACATGTGTTCATTGATGGTCTTGGTAGTAACGTGTATCTCAATTTTTATTGTCTCGGGCTCATTAGAAATGGGCAGAGACAAAAGATATACAAATGATGCATTTGGACCAAGCAAAGGTCAAGTGATATTAGAGGGTGCTGGATTTTACAGTAACTAGAAATGAGAAAGCGATGGGAAAGTTGAGCAGCACATACAGGAGCAGTGCCACACTGCAAAGAGCCTATCCCGGCATAGACGGCAAGTACCCTGTACGTTTCTAGTAGGGCTTTGGTTCCAGTAAACATCATCATCCGTCAGGTTAATGTCGTTCACTTGAATGTTCCCATTTGTTTTGGTCTTCTCTACCTAGTTTTATATTTGTGCATATTTTAGTACCGTTATACTTTAAATAAGTTAAATCAACACTAGCCTGAAATTGTTTTAAAATAAAAAGTTAAAAACAAAATATTTTGTTTAAAAAAATCAGCACTAGAGGCCTGGGTGAATTCCTTCCTCTGAGAAGGAATTGGGAATATGTCTCAGGATTGAGAATATGCTTATTCTCTTCATCTGTGCCCCAAAGTCCTCCTGAGGGAAATTGTGCTGCCTCATTGCAGCAGGTGCACCATTTGCCACCTAAACTGCCATGGAGAAGGAGGAAATGGAAGAGAAAGAAACCACAATACCACATTCCAAAGCCCCTTTGAGTTATTTTCTGTCTCTGCAGTTGGATGTAAAACGATGCTGTGGTATCGTTTCCATTTTTCATGGCTCTGTGGTCCTGAGTGCAATATTATCTGACATGCTACCTCCCTGGGGATTCAAACGGCCAGAAAATTGTCTCCAACTGAAAAAAAACTGGGGGGAAAGAAGGAGGACCCCTTGTTTCTCTGCTCATTTAGCAATTTATTGCCTTCAGTACTGTCCAGTAGTGATTCAAATGGACAAAATTGACAGGCCCTTTTTCCTTCCTAGTCCTATTTCCTTTAGGACAGTTCTGGTTTGGGTTTGGTTTTTTAAGTGGCATGAATGCTCTTCTTAAGGTGATGAATACATCTGTTCAGAAATCGCAAAAGTCAGAGTTTTACCATTCAAACTAAATATTAATTGAACTCCATGACCTAGGGCTGGCCTGCAACAAAATTACAGAGCTGGTGAAATTTGTCTTTGAGATTTCTGGCCTTCTTTCTTGGATTTTTTTTTTCTCCTTTCATGAAGAATGCATAGGGACTTCCCTGGTGGCGCAGTGGTTAAGAATCCGCCTGCCAATGCAGGGGACACAGGTTCAAGCCCTGGTCCGGGAAGATCCCGCATGCCGTGAAGCAACTAAGCCCATGCGCCACAACTACTGAGCCTGCGCTCTAGAGCCCGCAAACCACAACTACTGAAACCCACGTGCCTAGAGCCCGTGCACCGCAACAGGAGAAGCCACCGTAATGAGAAGCCCGCGCACCGCAACAAAGAGTAGCCCCCGCTCGCCACAACTAGAGAAAGCCCGCTCTCAGCAAGGAAGACCCAACGCAGCCAAAGATTGATTAATTAATTTTAAAAAGAATGCATATATGTTAACTGCCTTCAGTGTACCATACCTTGTCCACATTCTGAACTAGACTTGATCTTATTGTCTAAATGCCAACCCATACTTTTTATTTGATTTAATCAACACCCCTGCAGGGTAGGTGGCACTATTCCCATTTTGCAAATAATAGAACCGAGGCTTAAAAAGTTAAGGGTCTATATCATCTCACACCAGTCAGAATGGCCATCATCAAAAAATCTAGAAATGATAAATGCTGGAGAGGGTGTGGAGAAAAGGGAACCCTCTTGCACTGTTGGTGGGAATATAAATTGATACAGCCACTGTGGAGAACAGTATGGAGGTTCCATAAAAAACTACAAATAGAACTACCATATGACCCAGCAATCCCACTACTGGGCATATACCCTGAGAAAACCATAATTCAAAAAGAGTCATGTACCAAAATGTTCATTGCAGCTCTATTTACAATAGCCCGGAGATGGAAACAACCTAAGTGTCCATCATCGGATGAATGGATAAAGAAGATGTGGCACATATATACAATGGAATATTACTCAGCCATAAAAAGAAACGAAATTGAGCTATTTGTAATGAGGTGGATAGACCTAGAGTCTGTCATACAGAGTGAAGTAAGTCAGAAAGAGAAAGACAAATACCGTATGCTAACACATATATATGGAATTTAAGAAAAAAAAATGTCATGAAGAACCTAGGGGTAAGACACAGACCTACTAGAGAATGACTTGAGGATTTGGGGAGGGGGAAGGGTAAGCTGGGACAAAGTGAGAGAGTGGCATGGACATATATACACTACCAAACATAAGGTAGATAGCTAGTGGGAAGCAGCCACATAGCACAGGGAGATCAGCTCGGTGCTTTGTGACCGCCTGGAGGCGTGGGATAGGGAAGGTGGGAGGGAGGGAGATGCAAGAGGGAAGAGATATGGGAACATATATATATATGTATAACTGACTCACTCTGTTATAAAGCAGATATATATATATATATAACTGATTCATTTTGTTGTGAAGCTGAAACTAACATACCATTGTAAAGCAATTATACTCCAATAAAGATGTGAAAATGAAAAAAAAAAAAAAAAACCTATAGGGCAGGGAAGGTGGTATCTGCATTTGACCATTGAGTTTGCCCCGTGTAGAGCTCAGTCGTGGAGTTTCTTTCAGAATCAAAATCAGTGTCTCTTTTGCTCATATTCACATTTAACCTTTTCAATTAGCAGACAGTGTGCTAATTGAAAGATCACTCAGGATTCTAGTCCCAGCTCTGCCACTAACTTTCTGACTGATAGGGTCCCCATCAGAGTCACAGGCTTATTAAAAATGCATATCCAGTGACTATAGTAGGTAACACTGTATCGTATAATTGAAATCTACTATGAAAGTAGAACTTAAATATTTTCACCACACACACACACACACACACACACAGGTAAATATGTGAGGTGATGGATGTTTAACTCCACGGGGGTATCATTTTACAGTACATACATATATCAAATTATATCTTACCATTTAATTGCCAGTTATACTTCAATAAAGCTGAAAAAAATTTTAAAAATTAAAAAATAAAAAGCAGAAAGGCAAATAAATGAAATAGCAAACAGAAAAATAAGAAAAAAATCACTGAAACTGTTTCTTTTTGAAAAGATACACAAATTTAATAAACCTTGAGCTAGACTAAGAAACAAAGAGAAGACTTAAAATCAGAAATGAAGGAAGAGACATTAGAACTGACAACACAGAAATAAAAGGGATTATATAAGAGATTTGATACCAACAAATTGGATAACCCAGAACAAATGGATGAATTCCTAGAAATGTACAACAGGCCAAAATTAAATCATGAAGAAAGACAGCACCTAAACAGATCCATGACTAGTATGGAGATTGTATCAGTATCTAAAAACCTTCCCATAAATTAAGAAAACCCCAGGACCAGATGGTATCACTACTGAATTCTACAAAACATTCAAAGAAGAATCCTTTGAATCAAGTCAGTTCTTCTCAAACTCTTCCAAAAAAGTCACACTAGTCTAAGTGAGAGTTACATATAAAATAGTATTTTCTAAAGTAGCTGATTACCAAGATCATTTGAGAGTCTTTTAAAAGACAGAGATTATGAAATCTCTTCCCCAGACGTTATGATTCAAGTCAAGGCCTTGATGTCAGTATTTTAAATATCTGACGCAGAGTCCGGTTTTCATTGATGTGATCACCTCTTAAGAACTGTTGTCTCTTGCTAGCGGAATGGTGGTCAGGTGCTGACCATATGTGATACTTGAGGTCTTCCTCCTTCATCTTTCTTCTTGTGATCTTCACAACCTTTCCCCATTTTCAAGCTCTATTGAGATATATCTGGATTTACCTAAGAAGAGTCTTTCTGAAAATCCTCCTCCAAAATCACTACTGGGTTTAGGGATGGCTTCCTGGGGTACTTCTTAGACCTTTTTGTTGTCTATCCTAGGAATTGACCCTGTTTCTGTAATCCATTGCTGTAGAAAAACTATAGCTCTTTCTTTTCATAACTGTCTTTCTCTTGCAGTCTAAAGCCAAATAATATAGAATCTTCTTCCCATACAGTAACTAAATAGGAATGAACACAGTTTTGAGTTTATTGTCTGTTTCCTTTTTAAGGGTTTTCACTAATAATAACAAGTAGAAAGCAAAGAATGAAACAGTTCACCAACATTTTAAGGTCAGCTATCCAAGTCGTCTTTGAAGTGTAACCGCTAAAACAATCTTCATTCCTCCCCTTTAACTTCAGGGGAGTTAGAGACAGCCAGGCAAGCCTTCTGGCTAATATTTTGTACTTTAGATTAATGTGTCACTACTCTTTAATCTCTTAGATCCCCTTTTTCATACTCATCTTTGATTTTCCCATAATTCACATAGGTGGGGGGCAAGCAAATATGGCTCTGTGGGCCCTTGGCTTGAACCAGGGAAAAACACAATTTATCTTAGCAAAAAACTAGAAGAATGATACAGGTGAACTTATTTGCAAAACAGAATAGAGACACAGACGTAGAGAAGGGAAGTATGGATACCAGGGTGGAAGGGGAGCTGGGATGAAGTGGGAGATTGGGATTGACATATATACACTACTATGTATAAAATAGATAACTAATGAGAACCTACTGTATAGCACAGGGAACTCTGCTCAGTGCTCTCTGGTGACTTAAATGGGAAGGAAATCAAAAAAAGAGGGGATATATGTATATATATAGCTGATTCACTTTGCTGTACAGCAGGAACTAACACAACATTGTAAAGCAAATATACTCCAATACAAATTAATTAAAAAAAAAAAAAAGTTAAGGGTCTTGCCCAAGCCTAGGTGTTCTGATTGCAGATCTTACCCACTTTCTACTTAGTGCTCTAATACCCTTTCCTTACTCTTCTATGTAAAAATATTATCTTATATAATGTTACCCTCTCTTATACATTTATATTTTATAACAATTTGCTCAAAGGTATGGGCTGAAGGCTTGGTTCCTGTATTAGTTCCCTAGGACTGCCATAACAAAGTATCATAAACTCAGTGGCTTAAAATAACAGGAGCTTATTCTCTTACAGCTCCAGAGGCTGGAAGTCTAAAATCAAGGTGTCAGCAGGGTCACGCACTCTCTGATGGCTCCACGCGTACACCCTTCCTTGTCCTCCCCTGCTTCTGGTTGTTGCTGGCAATCCTTGGCATCTCTTAGCTAGTAGATGCATCACTCCACCCTCTGCCTCTGCCATCACGTGGCCTTCTCTATGTGTGTCTCTGTGTCTCTGTATTCTCTCCTTATAACGACACTAGTCATTGGACTAGGACCCACCTTAACTCAGTATGACTTCAGTTTAACTAATCGCATCTGCAAAAGAACCCCGTATTTCCAAATAAGGTCACATTCTGAGGTCCCCCATGAATTTGGGGGGATCACTATTACAGCCTCTATTAAAGAACATTCTGACATCTATGAACAATTGGGAAATTTCTTTAGCTACGGAGGGGCCTTCCCCCTTTCCTATCAAGTTTCCCTAAAGAGATTATTAACTGATTCATTCATTCACTCAACAAATACTTAGTGACCGTCTACTATATGACTGGCACTTTTGCAAGCACTGGAGCTACAGCCCTGGAAGGAGAAAGTTCACACTTCATGGTACTTGCATTCAACAGGGAGAAACTTTTGCCAGTGTGGTATGAAGGTGTGGCCTCAAAGGGCAGGAACTACAAGGCTTCATAATAGGCTCCAGAACTGGCTCATCCTCACTTCTAACACATTCTGCTAGTCTGAGCAGGTCACAGCCAGCCAGAGTCAAGGGGCTAGAGAAATAGACTCGACTTCCTGAAGGGAAGAGTGACAGTGTAGGACTGTAAAGGGGAATGACCGTCGAGAGGGCAGTGACAACTCCTTCGAGATTTCCCCCAGTTGCTTAGGAGACCAAAGCAGCAAGAGAATCTCCTGTTTGCTCATGGAATTTTCACAACATTAGCACTCTGTCTTGGTTTGCTTCCTTCCCTTGTGTGGAAATTTCCAGTGGTGAGAGCATCTACTTCAGAGAATTGCTGGAAAGATTAAAGATAATGTATTTAAATAACCTGAAGGTGTGAAGGTGCCTGACACAGAGTAGCTCCCCCAGCTGTCTGCTGTTGTCTCATACCAGCTCATGATCACCAACACCATCATCGTCGTGGGAACCATGAGAAGACAGACACAGAGCCCTAAAGCAGGATGTAATGACTTCTCTCCAGTGGCCACCAGGATATCCCTCAGGTCCCCCATAAACTCATCAGTGTTCCTAACTTAAGCCCATCCCAACTGCCCTGTGCACATTCTAGAATGAATTGTACAGATTGTGGTTCAGAGTTGGAAACACAAGGCCAGCTTCTTGGGTCCCACCCAGGCCCTTGGCTCTACTGACTTGCCTGTGCAGGTGGCTTTAGGGGCGGGGGGATTTCACTGATCCCTCCGCATTCCCTACTCTAGACCACCCACAGTCCAGCCTGGAGAGGGCAGTGGCTCTGTGGCTTTGGGTCCCTGTGAATCAAGTGGTCGCCCGACTTGAGAAAACCAAGCATGAACTAGACGGGGCAATTGTGCTGTAAAGGACGCTCAGTGGGGAGGGTGTTTAGAGGAGGGAATGATTCTTTCACTTGTGTGGCAGGGGAGTGTGTTGGGCCTTCGTGGATTATCCAGTTTATACCCGCAGAAAGGGAGAGGGAAGAATCCCAGATAGGAGTGGCTGGGCCCAACAGGAAAAGAGTGAACCATTTGTTTCTTTGGAGCTTCCTTCAGTTCTAAAAGAGGGAGGAGGGCTTCCCTGGTGGCGCAGTGGTTGAGAGTCCGCCTGCCGATGCAGGGGACGTGGGTTCGTGCCCCGGTCCGGGAGGATCCCACATGCCGCGGAGCGGCTGGGCCCGTGAACCATGGCCGCTGAGCCTGCGCGTCCGGAGCCTGTGCTCCACAACGGGAGGGGCCACAACAGTGAGAGGCCCGTGTACCGCAAAAATAAATAATAATAATAATAATAATAAATAATAAAACGGGGTGGAGCGGGAATGAGGTGGGAAAAGTAGGTTGGTGCTGGACTGTGAAGGACCTCAGAGGACGAGTATGAGGACGGGGACCCCATTCTTTCCGGGGTCAGGGATGCAACCATGTCACCTGCAGCCCCAGAGTGGCTATTCCATAGCCCTGGTGCCCCAGTCTCTCTATAACTTTAATCATAATATTAGTATCTTTGATATTTAAAAGAAGACCCATACATCTGAAACTAACACAACATTATAAATCAACTATGCTCCGATATAAAAGAAAAAATTTTTAAAAAAAGAGCACATTAGGGCTTCCCTGGTGGCGCAGTGGTTGGGAGTCCGCCTGCCGATGCAGGGGACACGGGTTCGTGCCCCGGTCCGGGAGGATCCCACGTGCCGCGGAGCGGCTGGGCCCGTGAGCCGTGGCCGCTGAGCCTGCGCGTCCGGGGCCTGTGCTCCGCAGCGGGAGAGGCCGCAGCGGTGAGAGGCCCGCGTACCGCCCAAAAAAAAAAAAAAGAAGAAGAAAAAAAAGAGCACATTACACATTCAGGAGGGTAGATGGAGGCATGGCATTAAGCCAAACAACAGTAGGGTGTCACCACTCCATTGAAAGTCTCTGAGTCTCTGGGGTTGGAGACCAGGATGGCAGCGCACCAGGCCAGTGTGGTCTCATGTTGCCTATTGTAGGTAGACTGTGAGAACTACTTCCGATTGGGAGTGAATGGCCTTTAGGGGAGAAACCTTTGCTCCTAGAATTCAGAGGAGCACGCAGCTTTCCCCTTTGGCCCCTACTGAGGCCGCCAGCTCTCTGGCCTGGCGCCTCCTAGGCTGTGAGCCCTTTAGGAAAGGGTTATATCTCCCAGGGGTGCTGGGCAGAGTGCCTTGTACTTTATGAGGTCTGGACACATGTTTGGATGGATCAGTGGATGAATATGGGGAAAAGAGAGGAAAAGCTCAAAGATAATAAATGTAAATACCCATATATGATGGTTCCAAGCGATACATAACCCAGACTTAAACTGCCTTTTGCACCAAAGCAAATGTATTGACTGATGCAACAGAAGCCCAGAAGCTGGGGGTCTGGTTTCAACATATGGAGCTAGGTATTCAGATGTCATCACTGGGAATACATCCCCTTGTCTTTCTGCTCATCCCTCCTCTGTTCCCTTCATTCCTGGTCTAGTTCTCCCTGCATGGTGGTCCCTCCTCCCTGACCCCAAGCTCCAGGTTGCATCCTCTCAGCTTGAGAGGAAAGGGAGCTGAGAATGAAGGAAAGCAGGTTCCCAGATGAAAATCAAGGCACTGGTACTGAGGAAGCAAAAAGCAACAGGTGTGCACAGTGATAGGCTTGTAGAAAAACTGGATCCCCTTGCTTTGAAATAGATCCGCAAATGCCAGAACTCCATGCTTTCTTCCTGCTTTAATCAAGAAGACTGGAGGACTGGACATCAGATTAGAGTGGAAAGTGGGCAGCTTTGGTTGCCAGGCAGACCTGAGTTTGAATACTGACTCTCTCACTGTGTGATCTCTCTTAACATCTCTGAACCTCGGTTCCCTTTTCTTTCCAGCTGGACTGTCAGCTCCCTAAGGGCAGTTACCTTGTTGCACTTTTTCATTACTGCACCCCCAGTGCCTAGCAGCATGCTACCTGGCACAGCGGCAGGTATTTGATATTGTTAAGTAAATCAGTAACGGTTCAAGTTGGTTGTACAGAGAAAAGAAAAACTGTATACATGAAGCTCTGATAAAATGCCTGGCATGTAGAGGGTGATGGGTAAGTTATAGAGTTGGTCATTATCATTACTCTCCAAAGGAAGCATGGTGGAACACAGAACCAAAAATAGTCCCGACAGCTGATGGAGAATTGGAAAGGGAGACAGGCCATTTAGTTTGTCAGTGGCTGCCTTGGTGGCCCGCGTTGGCCATCGTGTTGTGGATGTGGCCCAGTGTAAACATCCCGCACAAGTACTGAGTTCTTATTCTTCTTGTGTCCCCTCTGCAGCTGGAGCTCTCCAACACGGCCGTCCTGCACCAGATGCGGCGGGACCAGGTCACAGACACGTGCCGGGCCAACAGCGCCGTGAGCCGCAAGCGGCGGGTGCTGACCCCCAACGACCTGAAGCACCTGGTGGTGGATGAGGACCACGAGCTCATCTACTGCTACGTGCCCAAGGTGGCGTGCACCAACTGGAAACGGCTCATGATGGTCCTGACCGGGCGGGGCAAGTACAGCGACCCCATGGAGATCCCGGCCAACGAGGCGCACGTCTCGGCCAACCTGAAGACCCTGAACCAGTACAGCATCCCCGAGATCAACCACCGCTTGAAAAGCTACCTGAAGTTCCTGTTCGTGCGGGAGCCCTTCGAGAGGCTGGTGTCCGCCTACCGGAACAAGTTCACGCAGAAATACAACACCTCCTTCCACAAGCGCTACGGCACCAAGATCATCAGGCGGCAGCGCAAGAACGCCACGCAGGAGGCCCTGCGCAAGGGCGACGACGTCAAGTTCGAGGAGTTCGTGGCCTATCTCATAGACCCGCACACGCAGCGCGAGGAGCCCTTCAATGAACACTGGCAGACCGTCTACTCCCTCTGCCACCCGTGCCACATCCACTATGACCTCGTGGGCAAGTATGAGACGCTGGAGGAGGATTCCAACTACGTCCTGCAGCTGGCGGGCGTGGGCAGCTACCTGAAGTTCCCCACCTACGCCAAGTCCACGAGAACTACTGATGAAATGACCACAGAGTTCTTCCAGAACATCAGCTCAGAGCACCAGACGCAGCTGTACGAAGTCTACAAACTCGATTTTTTAATGTTCAATTACTCAGTGCCAAGCTACCTGAAATTGGAATGAAGGGTGGAGGTGGGGAGAGGGGCGAGAATCGTGCTTTTTAATTTAAGATTTTTATTTGTCAAAAGAATTCTATGGATATTGGGTTATTTTGTAAATTAATATTTCTTTGGGGATGATGCTGCGAGCAGCATGGTGAGAATTATTTAAAATCCTTAGTAGGGAAGGACGGCTGTCTTTGCAGGGCACTAGGATGGGTGTCCTTGTTTTTTAGACATGAATCCCCCAACAGTGTTTCAGAGGTTTCTTTGTGTTCGGGTGAATTCCATGAATTGTGCATCCCATAAATTCTAATTAATGTTATTTATAGTTATTTAAACATGGTCTCTGTATAGATTTCTTTTTGTGGCAGCAAGACTCTAACGTCTTTGCAGAAGAAATCTATGTTTCGTTCTGTGCTTGCAGCAGCTCGTGCAGGGGCATGAATGTTCTCCTTATTAACCGCTCAGAGAGTCACTGTGATAACAACCATTGTGCTGTCTATCGATACCACCGTTCTTGAAATTCTGCTAGAAATAAATAGAAAGAGGCACCTTTGCAAGGGACTGATTCCAAACTGATTTCAGTCGACCCAAACGTTCCTCACACGAAAGAAAAGTGATTTTTTTTTTTTTAACCCAAGGAGAGAGCTGATTGTAGCTTTTCTTTTTTCCCACCAGACTTAGCAATCTGGTAGAATAGGCTTTTCTACAGAATTTTTTAACTGGCAGTGCCAGTTGTGATGAAGGTGAAGTGGCTGTTGCTGTACATTCATCAAGTATTTATTGAGCAACTACTATGTGCTAGGCCTAATTCTAGACCCTGCGGATAGAGCATTAAACAAAACCAATAGTCTTGACCCTCAAGAAGCTTTACGTGGACACAGAGTATCCAGCTTGACAGTTAGCAAACCCCTGATATTCATGGACTTAACATGAGGTTTGGACTATTCACGAACCACCCCAGAAGGTTCAGGATCCCTACAAATTTGCATTTTTCTATGGCCCAAATTTGAAAACCACGTGCTTGGAACAGGCCACTTAACTTGGTGAGTAATCCAAGCTCATTGCCCAACATAAAAGATGACAAAAATGTTTCCTGTCATGTGCCCACTCCAATTTATTGGTAGTATCTATCTGCCTTTAAGCCCCAGAACAGATTTGCCAGGCACGGCATGGAAGAGTGCTGTGATTGATTAGTGATGTCTGCCTTGGGTGAAGGAAAGGGAATATTCGCCGACGGTCTCCTCCTGTCATTTCCAGCCCAGCTTTAAGGTCTCCACCTAGAAGTGTTGTTTTCTACTCTTTGCCATGTAAAAGATTAAAATTTTGTGGCAGGGCTCAGACATTGGAGGATTTGCCATGGCCTGGCATTTCTACTCCTTGTGAAGGTCAGAGGCGGACTATTTGTACACTTACGCATATCCGCTCCTCCAAAGGCCAAGAAACCATCGGCACCTTTGCAATCACCAGCAATGAGCAGCAAGGATAGCCTTCTGTGATGGTAACCCATGCCCTTTTCCTCTGGAAGGCTGGAAACCTTCCATTCCCTGTTGCTTGCAAATTAACGTCTGCACATGCTTCTCATTTCCAATGCCTCCGCTGAAGTTTGAGCCACATCCCTCTTACAGCTAGTGAATGAGTTGGTAGCAGATACTGTATATAATAATAATAGTTCTAATAATAGGGGGTGGGGTGGGATGGGGTGTGGGTAAGTTTTGCTTTTTGTTTTTGATGCAGTGTGTAGAACAGAGGGGAGAAGAATATTCTAAACGAACAAAAAATAATTTATTCACAGAAGCTATTAAAATTGTATTGTAAAGCTCACAGCCAGCTCAGTGAGCAGCAGCTGCCATGTCTCACGGAGGAAGTTATTTTATTGAATGTGAGTGAGGTGTGCGCTGGAGAGGGTGGCCGAAGCTATTTATAAGATGTTGTGTACCTTCTTCTAAGCTCTCTCTCCTTTGCGAAGGGCACGTCAACTGTACCCTTGACGAATAGAGATTTATGCAACGTGTTTTACCAAGTAGAGTGACAGACTTCAGCTGTCCTTGGAATTATTCCTGGACCCTGTTTCCAGGCAGGGGACACTGTCCTCAGAAACAAAGCTTCTGCTAATGAAAGAGGTTTCTGGCATTTCCTGATAATGTGCTTCAGAGAACACAGGTTCTCCCCCGACACTAGTTGGTGTGATGCAAAATAAGGGTTTTGTAGTCAAATATCCTTGGGAAACAAAACGAAGTCCATTTCCTTTCTGCAGGACTTTTCAGAGCCTTGAATGTGTGCTGTGCATTGTGAATTCCCAAGAGCATCACTGATGGAGTCGGTGGCATTTCCTGACCTTTGAGCGGGATACTCTATTTTGCAGATCATCTCAGAGAGCTAGCGTTCCACTGAATATTCTTTGGCTAGGTTGCTTTAGCACATCTGAGGTCTTCAAGGATAAAAAACTGCTTCCCTGACACCCCGCTTCCAAAAACAAAAAACAAAACAAAACAACAATAAAAGAGCACCACAGTCTCCACCCGGTTTATAGCAATGAAGGTACTTTATCAAATGAATTCAACTTTTGCTTAAGTGCAATGGTTCTAATCCTGGATATTACATGGGCCACGATTCCCTCCCTCCCAAAGGGAGTGCCGGAAGAGTCTTGGGCGGTGCTGACAGAAGGAGGGATGGGGGAGGGGCACAAAGCCTCAGCTGGTCCTCCTAGTGCTCAAGCCTAAGGTTGCTCAGTGCAAGCCAAGAGAGCTCAACCCTTGCTGAATGCTCCTTCGATTCTATAGTTTGGAATTGTTCAGTGTTCTTTTAGTACTTTAAGTGGAAATTCACGTGGATTTCCCGCGTTTTGCATTTCCACATCTCCGTCTTTGATCAGCTGTGATGCCTTCATTCGTCTTCTTGCTCTAGTGGGAAAGGGTGTCCTTCAGGGGACGATACTGCGGTATGGTTCGGCAATGAGGGGCTCTTTCTCCTCGTGTTTTGTGTTCATATTTTATTTTCTAATGGCATAAAAACTTTTTTTAAAAAATTCAATTCAACTGTTTTTGCAGAATGTAGAAAGTACTCTGTGTCCTTGGTTTAAAAGAATCCATGGGTGAAAATGTGCCTGGGAAACAAAAGTTCTTGGTTCTTTCGTTCCTTTTCCTTTTTTTTTTTAAAGAAGACTGTTTGAAAACGCTTTTCTATTGCATGCTTAGCTGGAGAAAAGTACAGGCAGGTGTCCCATCTCCAAGCCACTTTTCAGAGGTGCTGCTGTGTTTTCAAAACCAGGTACAAAGTTGTATTTACAAGGACATTCCTTCTTAACCTGTCCCTTTGGTTGGAAAACTGTAGAATATTAGCCACAGGGTTTGAATTCCTGCAGCTGCTTCAGACCCTCCCCCTTCCCTGCCTCCCCAGCTGGTCTGGGATGAAGGGCAGTCTGCTGACCTGTTGGCGTCTCAGAGGGGAACTTGCGTCCCACCTGTCCACCAGGTGAGTTTCACTGTCCTGCCTGTTCAGCTGTATGGCACAGGACAGCAGCGGGCAGTGGAAACTTTGGTCGGACCAGTGTCCTGGTGGCAAAGGCATGGAAGCACCAGGGTCTGATCCCTACTGGTAGAAAATTCCCAGAACAAAAGTGAGTCCCTGACATCCTTAGCTGGTGGGGTCTGGACCACTGCTGAGGTAGTGATTGCAGAAGTCCCTGTTCTAACCTGGCCAGAAGCCGAGGGACTCTGACCCTGATGGGTGGGGCTCAGAGCCGATCTCTCACAGCCTGACCATCCCCTACACACACACGCAATCTGAGCTGCCCCATTCTGTGCGATCCTGGGGACCAGAATCTCTTGCCCACTCATGTCAGCAGGACTGACCTCATCACTCCCCCAGAGTTCCCACAACCAGTATTTCCTCCAGCCTTTTCCATCACAACCAACTGGACCCTATGAACAGGCAGCAGGATTTTCTACAACCAGCTTGACCTTCGGCCGTTAACGGGCGAATTTCAGTCTGTTACCCTTTGTCAGGTACAGAAGGGGCTGCCCGTACTATTTTCTTAGGAGCGTGCTCAGTATGGCATATGGACATATAATTTAACATCTTTGTGGAGTGTGATTTTCTTTTTTTACATATTTGTGTGCAGTAGAGGGCCTGTTGTCGAAAACTCTCCCTGTATCTTACTGTACTGTTCGAGGAAGCTGAATTCCACGTTGCCAACAAAAGCGTGAAAATGTTCACGAACCTTCTTCCAGGAAAAGCCATTCAAGCCTGATTATTTTTCTAAGTAACTTCAATTAAATTGAAGAAAGAAAAGAAGCTTCTCTCTGTGTATGGTTTGTTCACGGCTCACTGACAGAGGACTGCAGAGGTGGGGTGGGCTGGGCTGTGTCCCTTAGCATGTGCGGGGCCCTGCTCACGTGTATCAGAGGATGGAGTGGGAGAGACGCACATGCAGACCGCATTGCAGGCTTGGCCGTGGCAAAGACCTCCATAGAGCCGAGCCCTTTCTGTTTAGTGGATGAATAGAAGCTTTCTTCATTCCTGTTTTGTCTGTAAATTCTTTGTGAAGCGATGCATTAGAAGGCCCACCCTGATCATGTAGGCTACCACCCCCCCGTGAAAAATAAGGAAACAGGCCCTGAAAGGCTAAAGGGCGTTGGTGGCAGAGCCAGTATTCAAACTTAGGTTGATGTGCCTTCAGAGTTGTGGCACTCGACGACACGCCTCTCTTAAGTGCCTGTCTTTGGTTCCGAAGTTGTAGACCTGCCCCCTTCAAAGCCCCAATTTTCCGATTCTGAATCTGTTCCTTTTCTGATGTATATAGCTTCTTTCGGTTCCACTGATGGACATTTTTAGCTTTACTGATAAGAACTATTTATTTATTTGTCAAAGAAGAAATCATCTCAAAGTTGTACCTCTATTTTATTGCACCCTAATTTTTAAAAATGTATTACGTAAACATTTTGACATGAGAATACTGAATTCGAAGATATGTCTCATTTTTCTTTGTTTTTTGTGTTTTTTTTTTCGTGGTACGCGGGCCTCTCCCTGCTGTGGCCTCTCCTGTTGCGGAGCACAGGCTCCGGACGCGCAGGCCCAGCGGCCATGGCTCACGGGCCCAGCTGCTCCGCGGCATGTGGGATCCTCCCGGACCGGGGCACGAACCCGCGTCCCCTGCATAGGCAGGCGGACTCCCAACCACTGCGCCACCAGGGAAGCCCTATGTCTCATTTTTCAGTCATGCCGGATATGGTATCTGATACGTCCACTCACCAGCTGGTTCTCACCACCAGTGGCCTGGCTCCCACCCATTCCTGGCATCATCACTGTCCTTGCTCTGGTCCCCTCTGGTTG